CTCAGATGTTGTTTGTTTCCTCTGATGTTGTTGTTTGTTTCCTCAGATGTTGTTTGTTTCCTCTGATGTTGTTTGTTTGTTTACTCAGATGTTGTTTGTTTCCTCTGGTGTTGTTTTTTCCCTCTCATGTTGTTGTTGTTGTTGTTTTGTCAGTAAACGTCAAAATAAATAAAAATGTGAAGTAAAGCACACAGGGTGTCGCCACAAGCAGCTCTGTTTGTCTCGTTCAGAATCTTTTCAGAAGTTTTTGACATTGCTTGCAGGAATAATGGAGGACAGGTTTCCTGACTTCCTGTCTTCACTCGTGTCACTTCCTGTTCAGGTACGATGACACAAAGAACCTCGCCAAGCACTTGGAGAAGCAGGCCAACCTGATCCAGGCCGAGGCGGAGGAGGCCGGAGACCAGGCTCTGAAGATCTTCGCCAACCTGACCAGCCTCCCGCCGTTTGACGCTGCGCCGCTGGAGGTGGGCGGGGCAGACACGTCACATGATGCTCACGCCCCCTGAAGTCCAGCCTGACTGATAGCTGCTGTGTCTCCTCAGGAGGAAGCCAACAAGATCAAGAAGGAGGCGTCGGACCTCGACAAGCTGATTGACAAGACTGAGAAGGAGTACAACGAGTTGCGAGACGACCTGAGGCCCAAAGAGCTGGAGGTCCGAAAGCTGCTGGAGAAGGGGAAGAGCGAGCAGCAGGTGGGTTCAGAACCGGGCCACCTGGTTTCGCTGCAGTCAGATGATATAAGCGCCGCCTCTTCTTCTCGTGTTCTGACAGACCGCCGACCAGCTGCTGGCCCGAGCCGACGCCGCCAAAGCTGTGGCTGAGGAGGCGGCCAAGAAAGGCCGGTCCACCTTCAGGGAGGCCGAAAACATCCGGGACGACCTCCGAGGTATCAGACCGCTCCGGGTTCCTGTGTCTAGAACCCTTCATGTTCCCGGCCCGGTTCTTTAGTGATTAGGATGAAGGATTAAACATGTGAGGGTTTAGTTTTTAATTTTAACTCTTATTGGACACGAGGAGATGAAACGATGCATTCAAAGACTTGATTTAACGTTGTCCTTTAATCTAGAATGATTTTAATAAAATGAGGGGTTTTATTAATGTAGACTTTTTTAAACCTTTAATCTTCACTTCAAAATATAAGCATGTTCCATCAGTTTATTATTTATATGTTTATTATTATAATTTTAAATGTTTGTCCTCTTTGAGTTGCTTTTGAAGTTCTTTTATTTTGTAATTATATGTGTAATTTTCACATTAAAACGTGTAAAAATCCGCTCAGAGCTTTGATGAAACTAATTTAATAATGAATTATGATTCATTTGAGCCAGAACGATGCGTTCAGGGCCCTCCAGTGTTTTAGGGCTTGAACTTGTTTATTCCAACAGTTTCTGAGAGGAAGTTCATGAACGTTTAGTTCCTTCATTCAGGATTAATAATTAGTTTCTGTAAAATATCCTCATTATTATCATTTTATTGTTTGTTTATAAAAAACTAAAACTCTTGAAGTTCTTTTTGTTTGAACTTTATTCCTTTAAAACATTTTGAGTTATTTTTAAGTGCTGCAGGTAAATCACTGTTTATTAATAAATGAATGATGTCTCACCGTTCTCTCAACGTTTCTTCAGACTTCGACCGGAGGGTCAACGACAACAAGACGGCTGCGGAGGACGCCATGAAGAAGATCCCCTCCATCAACGCCACCATCATGGCCGCCAACGAGAAGACGCGGCAGGCCGAGGCGTCGCTCGGGAACGCAGCCGCCGACGCTCGAGAGGCCAAGACCAAGGCGGAGGAGGCCGAGAGGATCGCCAGCAACGTGCAGAAGGTAGCGAGGTGTCAGCCGCTGGTCTCATGGCCTTCGTCCTCCTCATCGTCACCACAAAGCGTTTTTCCTTTCAGGGCTCGGCCAAGACCAAAGAGGAGGCGGAGACGGCGCTGCAGGACGCCAACAGGCTGGATGGGGAGGTGGACGCCATGATGGAGCAGCTGAGCGCCGCCGAGCAGGAGCTGAGGAGGAAGAAGGAAGAGGCGGACAACGACATGATGATGGCGGCCATGGTATGAAGATGTCCTCTGAGGGACACCTGTCCTCCACCCGTCTCTAATAAAGTTTGTTTGAATCTGTCCTGCAGGCGTCGGACAGCGCCAAGGAGGCGGAGGACAATGCCCGTAAGGCCAAGAGCACGGTGAAGACGGTCCTGAAGCTCATCTCCACCCTGATGGAGCAGCTGGGTGAGTTCTCCTCAGAACTCGCCTCCTCAGGCGCAGTGAAGCCTGAAGCCACGCCCACTGACCGCCGCATGTCTCTGCAGGAAACATTGACAAGGTGGACCTGAGCAAGCTGAACCAGATCGACGAGTCCCTGAAGAGGGCCAAGGACAAGATGAACGACAGCGAGCTGGACAGGAAGCTGGTGGAGCTGAACGACGTGGCGCGCTCTCAGGAGGACATGATCAACGACTACGACCGGCAGATCCGCGAGATCCGAGCGGACATCGCCAATCTCAACGACATCAAGAACACGTTACCCGAAGGCTGCTTCAACACGCCGTCGCTGGAGCAGCCTTAGCCCCGCCCGCCTTCCCCGCCCACTCAGCCACTCCCCCCTAACGCTCGGGCGGGCGATTTTTACCAAAACACTTCCTTATGTTCTCAGATTCTTTGCCAACGTTTCCGCCTCAACAGGAAGCAGCTGCTCGTCTTCCTGGCGTGGTTCAGAAGAACAGACTCGGTGGGACGGCGCCGCGCACAGAGTTGGAAGAACCCGGGACAGAACCAGAACCAGAACCACAAACCCGACGTGACTGCAGCCACACAGGAAATCAGCTTCAGTTCTTCTCCTCAGATCTGGTGAAGGCACCTCGGCTCCTCCCCCAGCGGCGATACGGCTCCTCCTCCTCTGCGTCTCGGTGACGGTCACAAATGACACGCTCGTCCTCAGAACCCCACCTTCAGATCGGGATCGGGTTTTTCTTCTTCTCTGCTCCACAAACGTTCTGACTGAAGCTCCAACGTTCATGGAGCAGAGAAGAAGAATCTGGGCCTCCTTTGGGAACAGGAAGTGATGTAACAGGAAGTAACAGCTTTCCACCACAGGCTGCAGCTCGACTTCACAGTCAAGAGTTTTTTCTATAACTCTAGTTTTTAGTTTAACTCCTCGGCTGAGGAGAACCAGGAGTCCAGAACCCGGTTCAGAACCGCTCTGAGCTCAGACTTTCTGAATATGTCTATAAAATAAAGTTTTGCTAATTCAGTTTCAAAAGTCTTGATCCAGTTCCAGTTCCTCCGGTCTTCATGTTCTCCAACAGATCCAGACTTCCCTTTGAAATGATTCTGGTCCAACGTCCTCCGGACTTCCTAAGGGTCTTTAGGAGGTTTTCTCAGAAAATCAGCTGCTCCGTTCTTTTAAAACCACTTTAACAGATGACAGAGGAGTCTGCTGTTTCAACAGAACCAGGACTCCTGCACCAAGAGCTCTGGACCAGGAGTTCTGGACCAGTTCTGTGGGCCATTCAGGGTCAAAGATGAAGCAGACGAGTCGAGCTTCAGTCTGGTGGAAAACTAGTTTTAAGTTGGACCCTGGTCTGTGAGCAGGCCCAGGACCTGGTCTGTTAGCAGAGCCAGGACCTAGTCTCTTCGTGTTCCTAAAGGTCTAGATCTGTCGTGTGGCTCCACAGGGACCTGGTGGAGGTCTGGACCCGTCCCGGCACTGATCCCTCTGCGTTACTCGATACACTGGTGCTAAGAGCCACGACTGATGTCGTTTTCGTGTGAAAGTTTTTTTATTCTCGACTCTTAGTGTAAATATTCAGGACCGGCTGCTGATCCAACGATGAGCCGAGAGCTCCGGGTCCAACAGAACCCTCCACGCTAACGTCTGCGCTATCTTATTGTTATTATAATTATTATAATTGTTGTTGTTGATGTTGTTGTTGTTGTTGTTGTAAACACGGCTCACTTTGTGTTGTTTTGATTCTGTGTGGGTTTCAATGGTTTGTCCCTCCTCCGGGCCGTCGGGACTTACTGGACCGGGTCCAAACAGAACTCCTGCTGGAGCTGCTCGGCCCGCGGGCCTGGAAACCCAAAGCTAACATTTCAATAATAAAAGAACAGTACTCCAGGAGAGGACGTGTCTGAGTGGTTCTGTTCTTATCAGACCCGCCTCACACTGAAACCAGAACCACAACGAAGAAACAGAACCGTTTGTAGTAAAACGAGTTTAACTTAATTTAACCAGTCAGAGGTCCGGATCAGAACCAACATTCAATAACTACTGAAGTACCAGCGGAGGACTGGGGACAAGTAAAGATGGGCACTGGGTACAATTGAGATTTCTGGCGCGACCTGAAATTCGATTAGTGTTGGGGTAACCCCAGCCCCCAGAAACCATCTTATCTCCAGCAAACTGGTTGGTCCACTTAAGGAGTTTACTGCTTTGTGGGGAAACGGTTTATTTGGAGCTCCTCAGACTGATGAAGCCCTCCGGATTGAGGGTGAAACGTCTCTAGAAAAAAGAAACTGTCCAGATGACCTGACTGAGAATTATTGTATCAACCACATGATCTAAGTCTCTGCTCTCTGATCCATTACTCTGCAAGACAGAAGCAAACGATGAAAGAGAAGCTTTCAATTTGGTTACAGCATTTTCTGATAAGCACCTGCTGAGATGAAATTTACTCTCAGTGACTGTGTAGTCATTTAATGTGAACTCAAAGGTTATTAAAAAAAGGTCGGACAGAACAGGACTTTAAGGAACTATTACTAAGTTATTAATCTTGATGCCATAGGTCAGAACCAGGCCAAGAGTGTGATGATGAGAGAGTAGATGTGTGGACGTTTTGGGTAATATTTAATAATTACAGAAAGGTGTGTCTCAGTCTAACTTTTGCTTAATAAATGCACTTTGACGGTCAAATCAGCTTCATTTCGCCGGGGCGGTGCAGCAAAATGAAGCTGAGATCGCTCCAGAACGAAGGTGGACATATGGCAAGCCAATTGTGGCATTAATAGCTGGTGAAGATTCTCAGTCATCCAGGACATGGTGAATTCAAAAAAGTTCAAGACAAAAATAAAATATAATAAAGTCCAGTTGTTTTTATCTTGAACTTTGTTGAATTTGTCATTATAGCCACAAACAGCAGCACGAACATGAGCATGAGTGTGTGAGCAGATGAGCACGCATTAACACCTCAACATGAAACAGATCAGCAGCAACATGAAACACATCAGCAGCAACATTGAAACACATCTGCAGCAACATTGAAACACATCAGCAGCAACATTGAAACACATCAGCAGCAACATTGAAACACATCAGCAGCAACACTGAAACAGATCAGCAGCAACATGAAACGGATCAGCAGCAACATGAAACACATCAGCAGCAACATGAAACTGATCAGCAGCAACATGAAACTGATCAGCAGCAACATGATATGGTTTTTCACAGTGATTATTCTAGTTAGAGATTCATGAGTCTAACAGCCTCAGGGTAGAAGCTGTTCCTCAGTCTAGTGGTTCTACACTTAATGCTCCTTAACCTCCTTCCTGAGGGGAGTGGGGCAAAAAGTGTGTGTGCTGGGTGAGTGGGGTCCTTCATGATGCAGGTGGCCCTCTTCCTGCATCTGGAGGTGTAGATGTCTGTGATGGTGGGGAGACTGACTCCAACATCTTCTGTGCAGCCTTCACCACTCTCTGCAAAGCTTTTCTTTCTGCAGCTGTGCAGCCTCCATGCCACACATTGATGCTGGAGCACAGGATGCTCTCCACTGCACACCTGTAGAAGGAGGTGAGGACTGAGCTTCCAGACCAGCTCGTCTCAGCCGTCTGAGGAAGTAGAGTCTCTGATGTTTCTTCATCAGGTTGGTGGTGTTGTTGCTCCAGCTGAGGTTGTTGTTCAGGTGCACACCCAAGTACTTGTAGATGGAGACCACTTCCACTGCAGATCTTCCTATGTTCAGGGGGGGGGGGGGGGGCCCCCTCCTCATCATTGTTTGTGATGCATCCCACCACCGCTGTATCATCTGCAAACTTTACAATGTGACAGCCTGGATGGGTAGCTGCACAATCATATGTGAGCAGAGTAAACAGGAGAGGGCTCAACACACATCCCTGAGGAGAGCCAGTGCTGAGGGTTATGGTGGAGGAGGAGAAGTTGTGGATCCTCACTAACTGGTCTGTTTGTTAAGAAGTCTAGTACCCAGTTACAAATGTAGGAACTTAGTCCTAGTGTGGATAGTTTGTCCATCAGGGTTTGGGGGATCATGGTGTTGAAGGCGGATGTGAAGTCCACAAAGAGCATACGGATGTAGGAGTTTTTCTGCTCCAGGTGGGTGAGAGCAGCGTGGACCACAGAGGAGATTGCATCCTCTGTTGATCAGTTCTCACAGTATGCATACTGATGAGGGTCCTCGTTGATGTTGATGGTTGTTTTGATGCGAGTCATGATCAGTTTTTCGAAGCATTTAGCGACTATCGGGGTGAGGGCCACTGGCCGATAGTCATTCAGACCAGTCACTGTAGAGCTTTTTGGGACTGGGATGATGGTGGCAGTCTTCAGGCAGGTGGGAACTTTTGCCAGGGTGAGGAGTTAAAGATGTCTGCCAGCACCTCGCAGAGCTGATCAGCACAGTCTTTCAGCACCTTCCCCAGGATGCTGGCTGGGCCAGTTGCTTTGTGAGGATTAATTCTGAAAGTCCTCCTCACTTCATCTGAGGTCATGCTGAGACACTCTTCTTCTGGTGCTGGGTGGTGTGTTCGGGTTTTCAAAGTGAGCATAGAACTTGGAGAGGGCATCAGGCAGTGATGGATCTCTAGGGCATTGTGCACCTCTGCCTTTATGACCTCTTATATAATGATGATCAGTTATCAGTTCATTAACTAAGATCTGATGTTCAATAATCCACATTTAATGATTTTATTCTTTTGCTCTGGTAAAGTAACTGTGTTTATTTTAATCAGATTTTTATGGTTTATATTTTTAGAGCTGATTTTTAGTTTATTTAATTTGAGCCGTGGGCGAGTTGACTCTGTTTCAATGTGGGTGTGGGGGGGTAACAGAGGAGAAGCAGCAGAGGGGTGGAGGACTACAACTCTGCTCCTGGACTGGTTTCTACACTGGACCGTTAACCGTCAACAACCCGGGTGTCCAATTGAATCAGTTCAGTTTTAGAGAGAAGAGCTGCTCCACTGAAGGTGGGATGGATTCCATCTCTCAAGATCAGACCAGGTTTTCCCCAAAATGCACTCCAGTAAACGGTTTTGTTCTGATCCGGCTGGGTTTACTGAACCATGAAGGACATGTGGCGTTCAGGGTCACTGACAAGAGTAAGGAATCAAACTCCCAACCACCTGAAGCTACTGTCCTCTTCTACAGACCAACAGATTCATCACTGACGATGTCAACACGAAGCTGCGAAGGACTCGACAAAAGAAAAGTCTTTGGAAAGACTAATGATTAATCCAAGTTCTTAAAAACTACAAATGTTTCAATTTAAGGGACAAAAACTGAAAATGTCCGTTTATTCTTCTGTAAACATCTGAAGTTTAATTCTTCATGATTTTATTCTTAAAAAAAGAAGAAAAATAATAATAAACCTGCAGGAAAACTGCTGATCCAGACCACCTGAAAGGGTCCAGGAGAGTCTGGATCATTGGAAGCAGAACTGGAACAGCTGAAAACCGGATCAGAACCAAGTTCTACACAAGGTGGACGCAAAGTCCAAGTTAGGTTGATCCTTTGGTTTATGACTAAAGACCCTCAGTCCTGATCTCATTTCTGAACTTAGACCTGATCTCGGTCCTGATTTCAGTCTTATTTCAGACCTGATCTCAGTCCTGATCTTAGACCCGATAGTCTTATTTAAGACCTGATCTCAGTCCTGATCTCAGTCCTGATCTTAGACCTGATCTCAGTCTTATTTCAGACCTGATCTCTGTTCTGTTCTCAGTCCTGATATCAGACCTTTCAGTCTTGATCTCAGACCTGATCTCAGTCCAGATCTCAGGCCTGATCTCAGTCCTGCTGCGGGGTCAGATCGGACACCTTGATGAGGGTTTTCTTCTTGCAGTCCTGGGTCTTCATGTGGCGCCGCAGCGTGTACATGTCACTGAAGCTGCGGTTGCACCGGCTGCAGCAGTATGGCCGCTCCTCTGTGTGGTGCTTCATGTGATATTTGAGAGGCGTGCTGAGCATGAAGGCCTTCCCACACACGGCGCAGGAGTATGGCCTCTCCCCGGTGTGTGTCCTCAGGTGCACCTTCATGTCCGAGCTGGAGGTGAAGGCCTTGCAGCAGACTCGGCAGCTGTAGGGCTTCTCCCCCGAGTGCGTCCTCAGGTGGCGGATCATGGACGAGGTGATGTTGAAGCGTTTCCCGCAAACGTCGCAGCGGTGCGGCTTCTCGCCCGTGTGCGTCCTCATGTGGATCTCCATGTTGCTCTTGCGGCTGAAGCGCTTCCCGCACGCCTTGCAGCTGAACGGCTTCTCGCCCGTGTGCGTGCGAGCGTGCACCTCCAGCTCCACGCGGCGCTGGAAAGTTTTTCCACAGAACTTGCAGGCGTGGACCTTCCGGTGTGCCTGCAGGTGCACCAGCAGGTCCCGCTTGTCGGGCTGTAGTTCACCACAGACGCCACAGAAGCAGCACTCGTCGTCGGCATGAACCTCAGCGTGGTTCCTCAGAGAGCCGCAGTAGCTGAACGTCAGCCCACAAACTTTACAGCCAACAGAGCCGCCGCCAGTGTCAGCATCTTCCCCTGGCTGAGGGGGCGGGGCCTCTGTCCCTTCACAGGAAGTGCTCGGCCGGACGTCGTCCTTGTTCAGCTCCACATTCACCTCAGCCTTCACCTGTGAGTCCACCTCAGGCTGCTCCTTCTTCAGCATCTTTGCGTACTGCTCAGTGGGTGGAGCTTCAGCCTTGATCTCCTCCTCCTCCTGCTTGATAATGCAAAGCTCCACCTTCAGGAAGTCATCGCTGTGGCGCCACGTATCTAAAACACCACAAAGAAACATGCAGTTCTCTTCAGTTTATTTCTTCAGCTCCAAGTCTCAACAGAAGTCGTCTCAGGGACTGAACACAAACATTCATCTATAAAATAATAATTGAACAGAAACATTCATCTATAAAATAATAACTGAACAGAAACATTCATCTATAAAATAATAATTAACAGAAACATTCATCTATAAAATAATAATTGATCAGAAACATTCATCTATAAAATAATAATTGATCAGAAACATTCATCTATAAAATAATAATTGAACAGAAACATTCATCTATAAAATAATAATTGAACAGAAACATTCATCTATAAAATAATAATTGATCAGAAACATTCATCTATAAAATAATAATTGAACAGAAACATTCATCT